ATTTTGTTTATGTGATGAATTATATTTATAGATTTACATATATTGAACCAGCCTTGAGACCCTGGGATAAAACACCTTTGGTCATGGTATATAATTCACTTGCCTAGTTTAAATGTAAATTTCCTTCTAATATTCCATAATTCAAATATTTTAAAATTGTGCATAGAAGATACTCTCTTTCCCTATGGCAATAGTAAGGAAGAAGACCTTTTAATCAAGCATTTGACCAGCGCTACCTATGGAAATAGATTAAAGCTCAAAGATCCCTTGGTAGGCAAGTAGTTTTAAATTGCCCCCAATATCTGTCTGAAGTAAGCGTGATAGAGAAAGTCAAGTAAGGAGAATAGGGGAAATTATATTCTAAAGAACTCTTTGAGTATAAACCTGAACAAAAAAAATTGGCTTAGAAGAGATATTTTTTAGATACATGAGTTTGCCTAATGTCCTTATTTCTTCATTCACCAAATTCTTTTACTCCTTGAACTGAGAGTAAAATCTTAAGATAGTTAAGTAAATTGTTGTGTGCTTGATGTGTTCAGCTGTCTTCCCATAGACTGCCTTTGATTATCTTTCTTATCTTGCCATAACTTTCCTATTATAGTATGTGTACATCAACAATGTAAAGATAATACTTCCTGGATCAACACTGATTTTCTGTATTTCAGGGACTATGCTGTAGTGTTTTATCTCTTGCATTGTAAAACGGAAAGCGCAGTAGTGATTTACTCCAACTATATGTTTTGGAAGTCTTTGTATTGCTGACTACATAAAGATCTGACTGACTTGAAAAATAGTGTTCTTGGACATGTGGGAGAGAGGAGTTGTTTGCTAGCCTGGCTGTTTGTCCCTGCACCATCTCATCAATTACTCTGATTTTTTTCTTTATGTCTTCTTAGCCCCTTCCTGAGAAGTTTGTGGTGAAAGGTGTCGTGGATCGTTTTTCAGAAGAGTTTGTGGAGACCAGAAGAAAAGCTTTGGATAAATTCCTAAAAAGAATTACGGATCATCCTGTTCTCTCCTTCAATGAGCACTTCAATGTTTTCCTTACTGCTAAGGTGAGTACAGAATTTTGCATATTCCTCCCCCAAATTACCATTCTTGGGTTTCTTTCTCCTAAAAACTGTTTCTGTCTCTCACAAGCCACCTTCACGAATGGTTCACTCTATCAGGTCTCATAAAATTGCTCTGTTTTTGGTGCCCATGTCCATTAGCATGGGTTTTTGTGCTAGAATTCCACACCTCTGCCATCCCTTGCAGCAATAGAGAAAGTTAGAATGTTTTCACTTGGCAAAAGCAAAGATAAGTGTTTCCTTAAACACTTCTTGGAAATATTATTAGGTGAGGCCATTCTGACCAACAGTGGGCTAGGAAGGGAAAAAACAATTATTTGAGTGTTTGGTAAGGGTGTTCAGCACAGAACCCTCTGAGTCAGTGCTTTTCGATCTTTTTTATCGCACAGCATGCTTAAACCTGTAGTTAAACTTCCACAGCATGCTTAAATTATATTGATTAAAAAAAAGAGTAAAAAAAAAAGAATATACTTACTGTGCTTTGAACTTCTTTCAGAAATATTTTAATTAATCATCTTTAAAAAGTTTTGTAGGCTCAGTGCCTGTGGCTCAAGTGGCTAAGGTGCCAGCCACATACACCAAAGGTGGCGGGTTTGAATCCAGCCAGGGCCTGCCAAACAATAATGATAAAAACAACAATAATAAAACAATAATAAAAAAAAAAATAGCCGGGCGTTGTGGTAGGCGCCTGTGGTCCCAGCTACTTGGCGGGAGACTCTCTTGAGCCTAGGAGTTGGAGGTTGCTGTGAGCTGTGATGCCACAGCACTCTACCCAGGGGGAATAGCTTGAGGCTCTGTCTCAAAAAAAAAAAAAAGAAAGAAAAAAAAGTTTTGTAGCCTACCTAAGATTCTCTCATCGTACCCTGGTTTAAAATCACCACTGTGAGTGATTAGTCATGGCCTCATTTTATAGACAGGACAACTGAAGTTACTTGGGTCTTTGCGGCTCTTGAGGGTACATTTTCCCTCTGTGCGAGACCACCTGAGCATCACTTGCCTGCTCCTCCCAGGCGGGCATTTTCCAAGCCTTTGCCAGATAAGACATTTGGGTCCTACACAGTTGCCAGCTTCTTTGTGTCCAAACCCAAGCTGGTTGTTCATTAGCTTTTCCCTGCACTCCCCTGTTGGCAGAACTGGCCAGAAAACCTGAAGTGCTCTGCTCTCATTGTCTGCAGAAATGGGGTCAGACTCCCCTGCTTGCTTCCTTGCAGCCCCATCTGTTTGCTTTCAGGGATCGTGTTTCCATATCCAGACCATACATACCGCAGTCCATGCTGGCAAGGCTACCGAGGTCCAGATGCTTTCTAGTTTTATTTTTCACAATTGCAAGCTTGAGAAGTATTTACAGATAGCATCAGTTGTTATTAAAGGCTAGAGACAGCAAGCCATTCTGTACTCAGGGGAAACCACATGGGAAAGTCCGTTAGTTTTGTTCTGTAACCTCGGTTGGCATTTAGCTTTATTGATGACTTTCCCGTGCATTGTCTTTTTTCTCCCCAGGGGTTTTTTTTCTTCCACAAGTTGAACTTGTGTGGTTTTAACAAATAAGTCTTTCCTGATGAAATCAGGTATAGTTCTTCCACTTTAAAGTAAAATCCATCTTGTTTGCCAAAAGTGCAGCTCACTTTCTCACCCAAGCTTCGTTGCCCAGAAAGCCCACAAGCTCAGTCATCTTTAATGAACAGAAAAGAAAAACAAGGGGAAAGATCAGATCCCTGGTGCTTAGGAATCTGTATGAAGCATAAGGAGGAGACAGAGAGTGTGTGTGTGAGAGACCTTGATTAATCTGTGGGCCAGCCAGTATGAAAACGATTTTAAAAAATATATAAGGTCTTTCAATATCTAAACCAAAATCCAGCTTCACGTGAGTGAATACGGAAGAGGTGGCTTTAAACAGAACAGATCCTAGCCCTAGTTCAGTATTACTTTTTGAATTAAATGCACTAAACAGTTATCTTAAAAATTTCTTTTAAATTGTGATAAAATACATATACTATAAAATTTACCATCTCCATTTCCAGGTGTTCCAGTTCAGTAGTGTTAAGTACATACACTTTGTTGTGTAACTGATCTCTGGAAGTTTCTCATCTTGCAAATTTGAAACTCTGTCAGGGGTGTCCAACCTGTGGCCTATGGGCTGCATGCAGATTTTGCAAGGATGTTTTTTGCTTATCTGTGGTATCGGATATCACAAAAAGTATGCACGGACCTATCCTTTGCTTATCAGCTTTCATTAGTATTTGTGTATTTAATGTATGGCCCAAGACAACACTTATGCTTCTAATGTGCAGCAGAGAAAAAAAGGTTGGACACCCCTGCTAGAGTCAACACCCATTAAACCATACCTGCCTATTCTCCTCTTCTGCCCCCCTCCCCCGCCATCTTTTCCTTTAACATTCCTCAAATGATCTTGCTCTTAGATGAGTCATTTTTAGGTCCTACCACTGAGAAGGCAGAGAGGCTCTTCCTTTTCCTCGCGATGATGTGAGCTTATTACAAAGTGGCAGTTTCTTCATGAAGCAGCCAGTGATGCTGGGAGAAGTGGGTGAAGGTCAGTATCAACTATGTCAAGTCAGTATGGTCATCTTTGGCAGAATGGGAGCAGCAGTCAGATAGGTACCACGAAATACCTCAGTTCAACTTGATTGACTGGGGACGCCCTCTCAGAGTTCTGCTAGAGCTCCCACAGTTCAGTGAGCTCGTCTGCATCTAGCCCTGCTCAAAAAAGTGTTGTCTTTGGAAGTGATTCTGAGAACTCCAAGGTTTCACTTACAGTCTGTGTAGACCTGATACCTTTGAGGGGTTCTTGTAGGTGTGGGAGGTCAGCAGGGGAGATGGAATCTCTAGGACACTCTCTTAGGCAGCCTGACTTTGAAGGGAAGGAGAGAGATGGAGACGGGCTGTTTTTAAGATGCGTAAGTCCTAGGTGTATTTTACATGCGGAAGGATTAGAAGTTGAAGATACAGACAGGGGAGGGGATAATCGATAAGGGCCTCAGTTGAGTGGAGGTGTAGATAGGAAAGGGTGGGATTGAACAGAAATGAAGGCCTGGAGTGAAATCACAAGGGGGCTGCGTTTCAGGTACTTTGGCGACATCAGTCTGAGAGTGTGCAGAGTGAGCAGGGCTGTGAGGCACCTGCGTCAACAGGAACTCCTCATTCTCTGCTCTGCCTGCATCAGGCTGTTACCAGAAGGCCTTATTCCACATTCCCTTATCTCTCTGAAAACATGCCCTTCTAGGGCTGAGAATTAGAATCCTGTTTGTATTAAGGGTGGATGTGAGGAATGGACACCTGCATCTTCCGTGAAACTGTTTTTGAAGGTGTCATTTCAGTAAGTGACAGATCTGGAGATATCATACGTTCCCCTTATGGTTTAATGATAGGAAGAAGTTTGTTTACCTGGCTGGCTAATATGCTTTAAAGTTAGGTACAATGGGTTATGAAGCTTAACATATTTCCCGACCAAAAAAAAAAAAAGAAAGAAAGAAAAAGAAATCTTAGCCAGGTGTTGTGGCAGTTACCTGTAGTCTTAGACAATTGGGAGGCTGAGGCAGGAGGAGGCTCACTTGAAGCCAGGAGTCTGAGGTGGCATGAACTTAGGGTTAAAATGTTTTGTTGTTTATAGCCCTTGTCCTTGGCCTGAGTTTTCCAGCAGCACTTTTTCTAGCATCTGTTTCCTGCTTTCCCCTTTCTCCTCTCTTTAGATGGCTTTAGTTGGGGTATAAGGAAATGAGTGAATGAATCTGACCCTCAGCTCTTCAGTTTGGCTCCTAAAGACAATACAGTGTGTTTTGTATGGAGGAAAGGGATAGGTTTTTAGCCAGAGATTTGAAAGGTCATGTTAGAAGCTGTTGCATTTAAAGGGCAGCATGCTCAGGTGAGTGACCCTGAAGGGAGGATCAGAGTAGTTCTGCTGAGAGGGTCTGGGTGTGAACGTAC